GCACTCCTTACTCCAGACCATCCCCATGCAAATACATCTGGTACCGTCAGGACCTGCTGATCTGCTGGGGAAAATCTTACTGCACCCCAAGAGTACTTGATTATCCCTGCCCACCTTCTTTTGCTGTCTCTATCATCCATCCATCCATCCATCCATCCATCCATCCATCCATCTATTTCAATTATAAATCAAAATCTTCTGCAGGCTTCTCAGATTCTTCCCTCTTCTGGACAAGCCTGGAACGTGTGTGTGTGTGTGTGTGTGTGTGTGTGTGTGTGTGTAAGGAGTAGCGGGTGGTGAAGGATGCTCTTTTGTATGAGATTCCTCTTCTGTGCATGGTCCCTCGCAGGCCTGAAACATCAGGGACCTTTCTGACCTCTCCTTCAGCCCCCACATCCCATCAATCACCAAGTCCTTTCCAGTCTCCTGGCAAGTGATCTTTGTGTTCATTGGCATTGATGTTCCTCAAGTATTCACTCTTCCTGACTCTTCCTGGACCACGGCAAGGTCCTCCTCACCTGATATCCCAGTAGCCACTATCCCATTTCCAATCCATCCTGGACACTGGCACCAAACTTAAATGGAAAAAGACTGTATCTGCTCATTTTTGTGTCCTGGGTATAAAGTACAGCATCTGGCCTATAGAAAGTGCTTGTGGTAGGTTGAAGGTGGCCCCTGATGCTTTGCTGCTCCCACTGAGAGGTGATGTCTAATTCCCCCTCCTTGAGTTTGGACTGGTTGTAGATACTTGCTTAGCCAATAGACTGCAGTAGAGACAATATTGTGGGACTTTCGAGGCAATGACATAGGTCCTGGGGGCTGGGTATGGGGTGGAGGGGATCAACAGGGAAAAAAAGAGGACATCTGTAATACTTTTAGCCATAAAGATACATTAGAAAAACACTTTAACATAGGATGGACCCAAGCCAAGTGAGAGCAGGCGGTAAGATCCGAAAAGCAGGCTGAAGCCAAACAATGGAGGAGCTTGAATGCCAACTAAGGGCACTAAACTTTATATTTCAGGCAATAGGGAGCCATTGAGAGCTCTGAAGAGGGCAGGCACACCATTAGAGCGCTACTGCAAAGGAACTGTTTCTTTATTCCACCGTTTTTTGAGCATTGTTCTGGTTATCTACTAGGCCTGGGCCCATCCTGCGTTCCAGTTTGTTTGAGCCGTTTCCCAAGGACACAGATTCTTATCCAACATCATGTCTCTATCTATTCTGCTTCCTCCATCTAAAGGCCCTTTCCTCTCACATCCCCACCGCAGTAGGCTGACATTCACCTTGTTCTTTGCGACTTTAGTCAGATGCCTTTCCTGGCTGCCCAGTCCAGCAGGGAGCCCCCACCATCTGGCCCAGGTTTGTTTATCTCCTCTTTCATCACTTGCCCTGCTCTTCATTTCTTACCTCCTCCATTGCATTATAAACTCCTTATGTGTGTGTGTGTGGGGGGGGGGAGTCAGAGGGACATGAGAGAGAGGGGTCCTGGCACATAATGGGGTGTACAGAAATGTTCTGTGTGGCTCCCCAAGCATGGATCGCTACAGAGCTACAGAAAAAGCAGAGGCGGTAGCATCAGCTCCAATTTTGAATCATAACTGTATCACTTACTGTGTGGCTTTGGGTAAGGTGCTTAAACTCTCTGAGCTCCAGCTCCCTTATGTGGAAACTAGAGACCTGGGATGAGAATGGGTGTAAAGGGCCCACCTCAGTGCTTAGCATAACAGGCACCATTAACAGCTGGCTTGTGAATAGAGATAGCAGAACGGTTGATCAACTCCCTGATGATCAGTTGTCATTATGTCAATTACGGAAAGCGCTCTCCCTGGCCAAAATAAGAATAGTAATCATGCAAAGATAAACAAAAGAATAAAGAAAAAGTGAGCTGTGGAGAGGCACCATGGCGACCCCTTAGAGAACCACCACTACATGAATCAGCGTGATCCTCAGCAAATCCCTTGTGAGGTCTCAGTCTTCTCATCTGTAAATTGAGGGGTGGGCACTGGAATCTAAGCTCCCCTCCAGCTCTGACATTCCAAGAGCATTAAAGAAAAAGGATGAATCACTCCTTCAAAATACCAATATGGGCTGGGCCCTCCCCCTGCCGTCCCCATCCAGCCCAGCTAAGAGCTCTTAATACACAGCCAGCCTCCTCCTGCAGCTGCCACCAAACTTCAACCCTCTTTCCCAGGAGTCTCACCAGCAAGACTGATAATGGACCCCTGGCCTTCCCCATCTCAACAGGGAACCAGATCCCATTCCCAGACTCCCCTCCCCCAGGGGGCTGGCTTTCCGTGGACATTTGGCCTCAGTGTGCTTGTGCATGAAGCGTGGGGCGTGTGGGAAGAGCGGAAGGAAGGAACAAAAGGAAGAGTTACAAACAGAGGGTTGATGAGTGAATTCTTGCAGTCACGGCTGGAGGGCGGGGAAGATGGGCACCTTGCTACTCTCTTCCAGGATTGTGAAAAGGTTGATGTGTCTGTACCAGTAATAGTCATAAATCTCCATCCCGGGGAGGCATGGTCCCAGCAGCTGCAGACATTCATGGACACAGGCTGGCAAAGCCTCAGAAGACACCCAGATCCATTTTCCTCCTTACAGGAGATGGGCACTAGGTGACCGCAAAGGACAGTGTTCTTGCCTCTCTGCCCAGAGCTCTCCACTCCTTTCCGTGTGGATGCTATTATTAGTATTATCAACATTAATAATGATAGAGACGGAACCGGCTGTGCATTAGTCACAGTGTTCGGGAACCAGCACCTCCTTGGCTCTCTCCTGCGACTGCCTGGGTCCTGCCGGGTCCTCTCTCCCGGTCCGGAGTGGCTCCGCTCCTGGCCTTTGAGCCTGTGTGTCCGGTGGTCTGTCTATTGCAGGTCACCTCTGCAGCCGGTCCTCCTAGCTCACACCGGCTCCTGCTCTGAAAGCCGAGAAGCTGGCCGGCTGCGAGCGGGTTTTCCAAGTGGGCAGGGGTGGGGAGGAGGGGCGCGGGCCG